AAATCTTATAAGTATCTTATAAGAATCTTACCGAACACTTGTCACTTACGTGGGGAATCTTATATAAGACACTGATAAGATTCTTATAAGAATCCGATAAGATTTTCACAAAATAAAACGTCTAGGGGTGCTGATCACATTGAAACGTCACACTGTGGTTCTAATAAAAAGTTAAAGATACGGAATAAGAAATGCTAGCTGGTATCGTACTTTTTGCAGTGAATTTGTTATTAAATCTTACGACTAATAAAGAGACTTTACTGCACGAGCAGAAACAAATTCTTGTAATAATTCACTGGAAATTAAGTTCACCCGACTATTACCCAATAGTTTATTACAACTTTTACATCTCGTACCATCATGCACTACTAAATATTCAATAAAATACAATGTTAGAAATGCTTTTCATGCTCTACAGTAGTTATACACTCTCGAAGCATCAAAAAAACTTTTCTTTCTTTCTTCTCAACCAATCTTTACAGACTGTTCTATAACTAAAAGAGCGAAGGATAGAACTATCCGTCCGTTTTAAAAAAGGAATAACATCTATGTGTCAGTCTGTATGCGTTTACAAAAAAGAAAATATATGTATGAAATCACAGATAGAAAACATCATGTTACATCATACTTTACAGCCTATCCATTAGCACATGGTCTAACTATTAGGACATCACATTTTCAAGAGTTATTTTTCTATACTAAAGACTAGTTGCATCCTCTCTTATTTATGGAAGTAAAATGGCTAAAACATCAATTATGTTCTCGTTTAGGTGTCATTGGGCCCATATTTGACGTATAAAGGATTGAGCCAATGATATATAGATTTTGTTAATGTACTAATTTGTTCAGATTTTCAGTAGCTATTTTCCTATACCAAGATTTATCGTAATGTTTTGTTAAATTTTGAACAGAATGGGTTTTGTTGAGCACGGATATGCTTTATGCAGCTCCTCAGAAAAATCAAGCTGAAAAGTCTTCATAAGATTATAAAGGTCCATAAGTACTTCAAAATGTGTAAAATCATTTTCTCTGTCATATCTGCTCAAAATTAATTTGAAAAAGCAGTGAGCCAAAATCAAGGAAAAGCGGGTCCCCTCCTTTGTTTTACGGAACCGAAAAAGTTTCGAACAATAATACAAAACCTTTGGAGTTCGGTCATGCACCTTTTTTTTGGAGTGTTTAGCTCGTGCGATAGCCATCGAAGCTACACTGATTCGTGTGGTATATATAGAATAGATACCAATCTTTGAACTGCAAAATGCAATTAGTTGACAACTTGCTTTGAATAAGACAATAATGAAGAGATCAATGCTGAGTAGAACGAATAAGCAGTTAGCAGTATTGTTTTATTTCCTCTCTCTATCTCACACATACCGATACACAGTGACATATTCTAAACTGTATTTCTAGAGACCTAGTGGCTATTTTCAAGTTTCCTTGAAATGTAAATCCTACCACGATACTCCAAATATTTTCATTACAAGGAAAACAAGTATTGTGACACGGATTCGAGCAGCGCTAGATATTTTCAGGCAGTTGGGATCGGCCGACCAGTCATCGCTACCAACACAATTCTTACAAATAAACAGACCATTTGGATCGACTGTTTTCTTGATGGATTTTAACCGATCATAGATCGCTTGAGTACCGAAAAATTTCTGTTGCCAATTCGGTTCAATAGGATCGGCTTCATTCAAATAACAAGCTGATTGTGCACCACCACCCACTGTTTCAAGAATTTCGACTTGAACTCGAAGACGTGAAGCAACAAGTTCTTGATCAGCAACTGATGTTTCTTCAGACCATCCCTGCCCATTGATCATATGTAGGAGAGCTGTACGCCATGCAGGATTGACACTATTATCAATCGATGAATTGGATACTTGGCCACCAGCCACTAGATGTCCGATAAGTACCAATTCATCTGCACTTCGACCTCTGGTTCGGAAGAATACTTCAGCAACTTGATCCGGTTGATCACGAACAATTGTTTCAGGAATGAGACGAGAAACAAGTAGAACATTACCACCGGTAGGATTTGATGGTGGCATTATTCTCTCAAAACAAGCGTAGAAAGGTGGAAACGATAAGGTAGTATTCACTGTAACTTGTAAATCCGTATTATTTTCCATTAATTCATTGAAGAACCCACTAACTACAGCGAAATTTCCATTCGGTGTGAGAAATCCAATGGTAATATTCGTATCTGTCATAGAGAAATCGGTTGTAAGATAAGCTGTGCTATTTTCGTCTAATAAGATTTTCTTTTGTTTTAAAATTCCAGTTACCTCCCGACTATCCGAAAAATCGACACGTACCTTTAATATTGGTTTTCCACCATTAATGAATAACCGCTCAACTTTTACTACAGTTGAATGTTGCATTCTGAAATCGTTTTCAAGCTGATAGACATCCCATTGCGGTGGAGCATTTAATACCACAATAGAATAGCACGTTGGAGTCTTATTGGGCATGTCTAATTCATATTCAAGATCGCATATTTTTTGCGGCCATTTACTCAGATCTTTTAACGAATCGTATTGGCTTGACGAATTCGCATAGAGTAAATAACTCTTTTTATTGTTGTACGTTGAATAGCGACCATATGTCAAGTTTATATTACACTGACGATTTATCGCTTTGATGATTGCTAGTTCTATTGGATATTGATTATCTTTAAATCGAATCCTAAATGGTGGAAAAGACTCACATTTTTGTTGCTGACGTGAAGTTTCCGCGAATTTTGAATTTACGTATGTATGCTTTATATTAAAGTACGCTGCTGTGGTGTTATTATTACGATTGTTAACTATATTATCATTTGGGTCTTGATTTGGACTCCGATTTACATTCAGATCATTTGAAATTCTCTGAATGTCATCAAATTGACGAACTTTATTACGTTTTGGTGTGCCTTCTGGAGTTTGTTCAAAAGAATCATTTTGCCCACGTTTTCGTTCATGATATCTCATATTCCGTTGTTGTTGATGGGTGTGCTGAAATTCACCATTAATTTCATCCTCATTATTCTCATTTACATTTGGATAATTTGCTAGCAGATTTACAACAGAATATTTTATTTGAGTTAAATTATCCTCATCACTTAAGGTACCCATGACAAAAATAATTTTGCCAGGTGTACAAATGTACTAAGCGTGGTGTTAAAAGTGTCTGTGTTACTATATGTATATATGTATAACACAATCAGAAGGAAAAATGAATAAAGAAAAGACGTCTTTACTGTAACTAGTCAAATGTGTGTATGAAGAGTATATATGTCACAGAATATAAACATAGAAAAAATATATATCTTCTTGTATGATGTTTTTCTTTTTTAAATACCAAGCGTATATTCGAGTGTATGACTATCCATCCCTGCATAAAAACAATGATCCTCGGTATTTTTTGAATAACGTTTTAATGGTAAGAGCTAGAACCAAGCGGTTTTCAGCATTCGATAGAGGAGATGATGGGAAGTGAAACTGTGTAAAAATCAAATCTCCGGATCAGGTCTACCATGGTAAAATCCTGTTGTGCAAAAAACAGACTTTTAATTTTAAAGTGTTGTTTCTATCCCCTGAAGTGTGCTCTTTAAAACTCCACAAGTCCTGTCTCACCGTCTTTTTTGATTCGGGAGTTACAGGCATTTTCCGAGGACCTACGAATCCTTCACAGTTTTGGCTTGGGAACTACAAAAAGAGATGGACAATAGGTTACCGACATAGCCGATCATCGCGGTAATATTTGTTTTTTGAAAAATTTTTAAACATCTACCGATACGCCAGTATTATGGAAATTTTCAATTTCACGAAGAGACGTCGATCCATTACTAGCCGAAGTATCAACCGAACCTAACGATGATTGTTCGAGTGGAAGTGTCTACAAATGAAAGTTATTGTATTGTTTCATGATAACGATTTGGTGCACCACCATTATCGTCGTACAACTCCCTCTTATTCTCAAAACAATTCAACGAAAGAAATTCGTGCAATAGTCAACAAAATCTTTTGTTTTATTTAACAGGGTAGATACACCAGCAGAAAAAACGAACGAAGTCTAATTATTAGTCTTCAATTGGCAAGCCACACTCTTCTTTGATTTTCTTGAATGTGTCCATGTCCAGTACTTTGCCTTGCTTAATCAAT